AGCTATCAATATTCGTTATTTCTTTATCACAGATCAAGTTGAGAAAGGAAATGTTAAGATCGAATACTGTCCAACTGACAATATGATTGCGGATTTTATGACTAAGCCATTGCAAGGTGAGAAGTTTTGCAAGTTCAGAGATCTGATTCTTGGTCCACAGGAATAGGTCAGACAAGTATGTATATGTTCAAATGAAAATACAAAACAAAATAAACAGTAAATAAGAGCATGTCCCATTGCTGCCAATGGTGATTGCCACAATGGCAAGAGTGTGTTGGGATATGACAAAATATGAGTCTTTATGTTCCAAAAGAAACTATTCAAGTACGAGGTTTTCGACACGTGCGATCGGACTTTGATCGTGATGTCGGGATTCGACGCAAGTCTGCCGGGCGCAAGTCTGTCAGACAATCTGTATCCACACAAAAGGGGAAGACCCTATACAAGTGAAATATTGATGTTGTGTACGATGCAGTAGGGAATAATGCAAGATGTCCCAAAGTACTGCATTCAACACAGAATTGCCGTAGAAGTCGAATCGAGTTCTGTAAACAAGGGATTTTCCAAGGGAAAATTGTCGAACTCACTTCTGTGATTGAATCATCAATTCAAGCCAAACATTAATCAAATAGGAACAATTTCACTCAAAGTATACCTAACACAGGAGAACTATTGTCGTGAAAGTGTTGTACAATCGATTACGAATTTAGATTGCAGAGAGTTTGTTCTGAGCGCTAAAGGCACTCACGATAGAGCACATTTTGCTTTATTCTAACAAACGAGACCAGGAGGAAGAGCTTTTGCCGGATTCCACCAACAAGGATTCCAAGGATTCCAAGACAACTGCTCCTTCCAAACTCCAAAGATCGAGACTGCTGGAACCTTCCGCGCCGCATTGACAGCCCCTCCAGCACCAGAGCAAAACGTTCGAGTCACCAACGGACAAGGAAGACAATTGTTGGTCCCGATATCCAATAGCAAACTATACTGCCCACAAGCTACCCCAACAATGCTAGCATGCATGAGTGCCGCCGAAGAAGCATTCAACATGGAAGAAGAAAGCGGCAAAACATCCTCAATCCATTGTTGGGGATGCCAAAAGATAGGCCACACATTCCGAGAATGCCCCCACAACGGAGATCCGGGAGTTATCAGCCAGTTTGAAAAAAGCCTAGAGGACTACAGACTAAAGAGAGAGCAGAGACAACACAAAAGCAAGATAACAAGTTACAAGGACAGTGGTTATATTAACGGTACGTCCGCCACTCGTCAGACCCTATTATGGCGGAAGACCCAGGTTCTAAAATCACCCACAGACCTAAAATAAAATTTTTCTCCATACAAAAGTCTTACCTTAGATCCTTATCTTACATCCTATTGGGTGGGGTCATCGTGATTGTGCTCTAGACATTCACTGCAGTCAAGAAGGAAATTGATGTTTTGGACAGCAATTCAGATCATTGGTTGTTTTGGTGCCTTATGAGTACAGTATGACCTGAAATCACTCATGGGCAATCTGAGTTCCGATTTGTAGCTGGATTGGAGCATTCTTTGATGAATTTCAGGCACATTTTGTAAGTTGTAAATTTTCAGTTTCAGTCCACAACAGTCCTAGTGGCAACTTCTGGAGCTACAGTGACTTCCCTGAGCATAATGATAACAGCCCCACCCAATAGGATACAAGATAAGGACCTAAGCTAAGACTTTTGTATGGAGAAAAACTTTATTTTTGGTCTATGTGTGATTATAGAAGATGGGTCTCCCGCCAAGATAGTATGAAATGGGCTTCTTGAGCGGCGGACGGACCGTTAATCAAATAGTTTATGAAACAATTCAAAAGATTGAGCATCCAGAAACGCAGGAAGATGAACAAAGAACACTTTTAGTAAACTTGGCCAAAACAGTCACCGAGCACATGGGCAAAAACAGCGGACAAAAGAGGAAGCAAATGAGAATGGATCCCCCACTCACTTTCATGACGGTTGGAAGCTTTGCAACAATGGAACAAGCACGAAAATTGGACTTCTCAGTGAACGAAGTCCTAGCAGTGATGCACTTCCCAATCGGCCTCAACCTCGGAGACACAGCCAACTTGAAAGGAATATACGACACAGGAGGATGCTGCAACATAGGAGAAAAAGCATACCACCTCACCATCGCAATACCCCCAATTGGTCAAACAGGTGTACGACTTTCCAAAGATTCACTACGCCCCCATCAAGATTGGAGGAATCAAAGACAGCGTCAACATCGAGGCAATCATTGAATACTACATCCCTTTTGCCAACGAGAATGGAGAAAATCACACGTTGATGATTGGATTGACGGAGCAACTACCCATCAACACACTCTTTGGATTACCATTCATGTTGAAGGTAAAGATGGCGCCAGACTTTCATCAAAAAACAGTAACTTCAAGCCTCTTCAACCAGGAATTTGAACTCATCATGGAGCGACCCACAATGCTTCCAGTGGAACACATCAGAAGAGATCAAGCAGCGTCACCCAAAGTACTATTCAACAACAACAAGAAAGAGACAGGACAGAGAGCCATCATCATCAGAAAACACCAACACAGCGCGCCCACCACCACCACCAACATTACACCGAAGAAAACATGACGCAGATCAATCAAGAGACGAGCCCACCATAAATGAAAAAAAAATGAAAAAAATGAAAAAAGGAAGAGACCCATAACAAATAAAGGTGACTGTGCTATTGAATATGAGATCGATCTTGTTGTCGTGCAAGTGTACGATTGCTAGAGTCCGTAAGTAGTAAGGACAAATCGGCCTCCAGGGAAGCACATCGATCTGACGATGGTAATACTCTTTCTAAGAATACAATTGATTTACACTATCATCATTTATACATACTACTTCGTAAGTCAAATACATCGTAATACAGTAACGATTACATTTAGATGGTTTATCAGATCCAGCAATAACTGTCAAAAGTTATCCGACAAACGAAAGGAAAATGAAATGTATTGAAACGTCTTGACATGTAATGCCATCAAACGTTATGAATGTATTGATGAACATAATTGTAAATGCGAAATAACATCAAATGTTGTGAACATTATGATGAATGGTGCTCAGCAACACCAACGAAAACTGTTATGAATGAATGGTGCTGAACAACATCAATGAAAACTGTTACAAAGTGCTGAGCAACACCAACAAAAACTGTTAGGAATCGTGCTGAACATCACCAACAAAAACTGTTACAAAGTGCTGAACATCACCAACGAAAACTGTTACAAATCGTGCTGAACATCACCAACAAAAACTGTTATGAAAGGTGCTGAGCAACACCAACGAAAACTGTCATGAATTGTGCTGAACATCACCAACGAAAACTGTTATGAATGAAAGAAATATGCGATCGAACAATATGTACGAAGTGTGATATTGATGTAGGCACCATGGCCACCATTACTCCTCTTTTCACTGCACACACAACAAGGTCATCAAGTGCAACACCGACAAAAACTACAGGTGTTGCAACACAAATGGATCAATGAAAAAAGGATGACATTGTTAATGCAAGAAGCTGAGAGAATCGCTTATGAAATATTCCCTTCCTACACCGCTCACTCAATGGAGAAACATTTCCCATGGACGACACCAAAGTGTTAGTCCTCCTGAGAAAAATTATTGTGGGGAATACCGAAGCCAAGCAACACTCAAAGTAAACACAAGCCATTGACGTCGAAGGCAACGGAAGGGAAGCATTCATCGCACTACGCACCTACTACAAAGGTGACGGACCCCTAGCCCACAAAGATAATACAACACACCATCAGCAAAAAGACTACAAGAATATGGTACAATGAATTGGTCCACATTTGAACGTATGGCTGCTCACGAAATCATACGCAGCATACGACAAATATGAGGGGAGAGAAGTCCATTCAGAGGCGAGAGAAGTCCATTCAGACGCAATGACAATATGCAATGAAACTAGAGACCAAGGTTACCGCCTCATTCCTACGACTGAACAACGCAGTGATTGATACGGAAATTGGCAAACAGATGATGGTAATGACAGTCACAACGGCATTACGAGTCTACCGAACTGCAGTAAGAGAAAAGTTCCCTCAAGGAATTAGCAACGCAACCGATAGGGGACGACACTTGGGCGAGGCTAGCTGAAGCAGCATGAGCACCAATATGAACAACTGGATGAGCAATATGAATAGCAGCATGAGCAATATGAACAACAATATGCAATTGCCACAAAAGTCAGCTTATGCACAATCAACACAACAAAGACGGGAGCAGGAGCCGAAACAGAGGAGGAAAAAGACCAGGCACCAAGACGAAGAAGAGATCACCCTGAGCAATGGGGACAAGTTCTGGTACCACCCAAGTCACTACTCCACTCCGGGTCAGCTACGGATAATGACCAACCAATAGAAGGGACGTATGTCAAATGAAAAAGTGCATACCAAACGAGTCATGATTGCCGACAAGACAAACGAGACTGTTAGAATAAAGCAAAATGTGCTCTATCGTGAGTGCCTTTAGCGCTCAGAACAAACTCTCTGCAATCTAAATTCGTAATCGACTGTACAACACTTTCACGACAATAGTTCTCCTGTGTCTAGGTATACTTTGAGTGAAATTGTTCCTATTTGATTAATGTTTGGCTTGAATTGATGATTCAATCACAAAAGTGAGTTCGACAATTTTCCTTTGGAAAATCCCTTGTTTACAGAACTCGATTCGACTTCTACGGCAATTCTGTGTTGAATGCAGTACTTTGGGATATCTTGCATAATTCCCTACTGCATCGTACACAACATCAATATTCCACTTGTACAGGATCTCTTCCTGTTTGTGTGGATACAGATTGTCCAACAGACTCGCGTTGACAGAATTCTAACAGGAACGGGACTTGTGACTCGACCTATAGGATTCCCAGGTTGAAGTGTAGCCTGTGCGCCGCACGCATCACACGTGCGCAAACTGTTACACGCCATTAATTTAGCGTAGAAAAGAACTGAGTCAGCAGTTCTCTGACAAATCATAGGATTCGCGTGGAAAAGTGATGGATCATCGCTTTTCTCACTGAATGCTTTTTACTTGAATTGATAACGATCAACTTGTAGGAACTAGTCAACTATAGGCTTATAGTCTATATTCATTTATTTCTGTCAGAATTAGCAACGCAACCGATAGGGGACGACACTTGGGCGAGGCTAGCTGAAGCAGCATGAGCACCAATATGAACAACTGGATGAGCAATATGAATAGCAGCATGAGCAATATGAACAACAATATGCA